ATGCAAATTAGGAAAGAAGCAAAATAAAAAAAAAATTAAAAAAAAAAGAAGCAAAATAACCATGTCCAAATTAGCACTACGTACCATTTTCGGGAGTGCGACGGCTCCAACAGCTTTACAAAGTCGACGTAATTCCCATTTAGAAGTTAGCCTAAAATTGAAATGACCGCGAGTAAGTGAAGGTCAATCTTAACATTATGTTACAGTACTAGAATTGTCCAGTAAGGACAATGAATGATAATCATAATAAATTAATAATAATGATAATAATGAACTTTATTTAACCACGCTAACCAAGTCGACCGCGAAGCTGACTTTCACCGGGGACGAGTGAAAGAAAGTACAATTTAGTGAAAATGTATTTATTAGTTTATTTATAATATTTAAAGTTATAGTAACAAAATATTTCGTGTATAGTGTAAAAAGGTACAATATTTAAAGTTAGCTACAAAATGTGAGGTATAATATGAAGGAATATGATAAATGAATAATCTATTTACAGGGTTTATTATTAGCATGACAAAATTCCTGGATGCCGATTGGTTGAAAAGAGTACAGTTATTTCATTAATTGTACTGCAGTATAATTAATGATTTTCCCAAAACAAACAAAATTGTGGAAAGGTATTTAAACAACTTAAAGCAAAAGAACTAAATACGAACGAAAGCACCAAAGTTTGGTTGAGAGCCTGACAGGACTGGGCTTTGGCGAGAGAATATGATGTGGACATTTGACATTGAGAATTATCCAATTTTGTCATGCAAATAATAAAGAAGTACACGGCGAGTCCAATTCGGAAAAATTGCCAAACATCACGAGTACTTTTAATCCCTAATTGTACGAGCAACATCGCATGATTACCTATACTAATATTTTGTTTATATGACTGAAAATGTGAGTAGCAGTTCTTTTGAAAATGTGAAAGAGATTTTCTCTCTCTAAACTCGTTTGGAATGGAGTTCCATAGATGAGCACCATCATAAGTGCTAAGAAGAGATTGTTGGTCATTATTGGGTCAATGTGCTTAGTAAATTTATCTTTTAAGACAGAGCTTACCTTACAACCATGAGATTATATTTATTACAGAAATGCAAAGCCATATCGCCAACTTTACCACCAGTCACAACTAAATTACAACCAGCATCAACTAAACACTTGACTTGCTAAAAATATAAAGAATAAAACAAAGTTTCTGGATTGGGTACAGAAAGAAGAAAGAAAGATCTCAGATATACTTACACTTTCTAGTAAATTTTCAGCACCAGGACTAAATGCCTTTAGTTCAGCAGCACTCTTTATGAGAACTGTTCCCTAGAGAAAGGAACGTGTTCTGTGAGTGGGCACTGTATATATACAGTACGCATGTTCAAACGTTATCGCTGGCCTGTGGATATGCTGACTGGCGATAACAAGTCAATACTAAGATAAAGCATGATTTCCACATGGTTGTATCTGTCGCAAACATGTCGTGAAGTGTTTGTCGTGAAGTGTTTGTCGTGAAGTGTTTGTCGTGAAGTGTTTGTCGTGAAGTGTTTGTCGTGAAGTTTTTCTTCAGCCTGGTTTCAAAATGGTCGTAATTGTCGTAAAAATAGAGTCACAATCTTTCTCAACGGCCAGTTTATAATAAATTTGTGTTGGTGTAATGTACTCAGGTGAACATGATGCTTGTGATGTTACTCAGAGACAGTGTATATCCACACCGCGGGCAAGCTTGAAAAATATACCTGGCCAAGCATATTTTTCAAGCTTGCCGGGTGTGGATATACACTCAGAGTAACATCACAAGCATCAGTTTATAATAGTTTATACCTGTAAAGTATTCTCTAGTCATAATAACTCCGCGTACTTTTAGTTCTATGAAATGTTGTATTTCGGCTGATGAGAAAGATCGTGACTCAATCTTTACGACCGTTACGACCATATGGAAACCAGGCTCAGTTAGAGGAGTTAAGATCAATTTTGGTGTTACATTAACAATTTAGTAGTCATAGAGCTTATACCTTAGTTTCAGTTGCCATAGAATCGAGTGGACACGAGAACACAGCAATCTTAGCATCTTGGACTTTAGTAATATTTCCCTCTACCTCGCGTTTGAAAACCATGCCTTGAATTACCACAGAACTAAGTACACCAGAACCCTACATATAAGACACAACAATGAGAGTTGAGGAAACACTCGTGCAAACTCTTGCTTGCCAACTCTCGTCCTCGCTTGACTAAAGCCCCGTTTACACTACGCTCAATTTTTGGTACGGCACGGATAAAATTGGTACCCGTACCACTTTTTTGATTCTTGGACTACCTATTTAGGTAGTCCAAGAACCAAAAAAATAGGTAGTCCAAGAACCAAAAAAGTGGTACGGTACCAAAAATCGAGCGTAGTGTAAACGGGGCTTAAGGCTTCACTTAAGGCTTACCAATATTTTAACGACTCGAACGTTGTCGACATTAAACAAACCAGATTCCGGCAGGATCGGTACTGAAGAAAAGAGGGGAAATTAATTTAATGATGAATTACATGCTCTCACACACTTCTGGGAGCTGCTACGGCTAGATGGCTTTGTTGATAAAGTAGGCAGGTGTGGGGAGTCTTAAAGCCATCAAAATTAACTATAGTGTATATTGATTACCTTATTATAGGAAATTAACGATGCACTTTATTAAAGCGGATTTTAAAAATTCGCGTTAATTTAATTAATGTTAATTTATGTTATCGTTCATTTCAAGCATGCAAATTTTAGTTTATCGTTAATTACTGTCGTTCCAATTGAAGTGTTGCTCAAATATTGATTCAATACATTACCTCGGGCTGATCAATGGACCATTTGCATTATAGACTAAATTTTGATCTAGACAAAAATTTCATCACAGCTTGAAAGAGCATCACAAAATTAGTAATATTCCAAAGTTTCGTTGTGAAATGTTGTAAAATGCGGATAATATAGCCTTGCGAAATTTGCAATTTTCAGTCATTTTGTATTACAAACGGGAAATTGATGCCCCAACACCCGATTGGGCTGTCAATTTCCGTGCGTAATAAAATCTGACAACAAACTAAGGTATATTATCCATTTAACATTCGCGAAATTTGAAGTACATCGATGCTCTTTCAAGCTGTGATGAAATTTTTGTCTGGATCAAAAGTTAGTCTATAATGCAAATGGTCCATTCATTCCATCAAGTTCCTCGAGATATTCATACACTTCCTAGTATAATTGTGAACTTCCTGTTGAATAGTTTGGATGCACCAATCACCTTTGTTGTTTGTGCAACTAACCAATCATAAATAGAAAGGAAGTGCCCAGAAATGATCAAATACTCGGAATTGGCTCTTTCACAGGAAGTATATGAATATCTCGAGGAACTTGATGAAATGAATTGGTCAGCCCGAGGTAATGTATTGAATCAATATTTGAGCAACACTTCAATTGGAACGACAGTAAAAAGACCTTGATTTGTTTTATACAACACGAACTCTTTTAACTCAAAATACATCATATTAAACCTCAAAACAAAAACATCAGTCCACTTCTTCACATGTCACTGTCGGCAGAACCTTAAGCTGGACTATATATTTAATATACATTGGTCACATTGGCTTAGATGACTTTAACTTTTAACGTTACAGTTTTGACATATCTACTCGCGTACCATTTTATTGGTAGTATATAATATTAAACTTTTGCTGTTGTGTTTATATTCTTCGACTCGCGTTAGTTAAATTAACTTGCTAACCATAAACTGTCAGATTCGCGTTAATTTGATCAACTTTAGAAGTACCTGAAAGCAATTCGCGTTAATTAGATGACACGTTAATTTATGTCGCGTTAATAAAGTGCATCGTTAATTTCCTCATAATAAGGTATATAGCAACATAACTTACTGAGCTCTGTAACCAAATTGTAATGTATATGACTGCAGGCCTTAAAATATCGGTCGGTCATGGACCTTGTTCGACCCATTCGTGAAATTGTCCAACGTAAAGAGGAAACCACTGGACATGGTGGTCGGATTTTGAGGGGAGGTACCAGGTGTGGGGAGGTACGCACCTCCCCTGAGATCGTTTTGCACCTCCCCTGAAAAGTCATGCACCTCCCCTTGGGAAAGTTTCAATGATAGATCAAAGTACAAATTTGACATTTTCTGGTTGCTTAGGATCTACGCTTCGTAAGAAAGTTTTTGTGTAAAATTGAAACAGTGATAGCCATTCATCTCTGTGTCAAGTACCCTTTTAATGCAATATTTTTTGAAAGAAACTTTGTAGTAATTGTAATGAGGGGCATAATTGGATGAGTTGTACAGTCACAATTTATTAATACACTAGATACATAATTATGTACACTACATACATAGGTCACGTCGTTGACTTTGGCACGTTCTAAGCCCTAACTTTCCATGGGGGTCGTGAGCTTTTTTTTTTGCACCTGACCCAAACTCAAAGTCATCAAACATGTTGTCAGACGGTTCTCTGCATGACCGATATTTTAAGGCCTGGGGCCGGTTGTAGAAAACTCTTACTGTCGTTCCAATTGAAGTGTTGCTCAAATATTGATTCAATACATTACCTCGGGCTGACCAATTCATTTCATCAAGTTCCTCGAGATATTCATACACTTCCTGTGAAAGAGCTCATTCCAAGTATTTGATCATTTCTGGTCACTTCCTTTCTATTTATGATTGGTTAGTTGCACAAACAACAAAGGTGATTGGTGCATTCAAACTATTCAACAGGAAGTTTACAATTATACTAGGAAGTGTATGAATATCTCGAGGAACTTGATGAAATGAATTGGTCAGCCCGAGGTAATGTATTGAATCAATATTTGAGCAACACTTCAATTGGAACGACAGTAATCACTTTTTTAATCACTATTTTGTAGTTAAATAGTGATTAACTCTCAAATGCGAGCTTCTTATTGGATGACATTTCCACCAACTACAGTTAACTTTAATCACTTTTTTATACAACCAGCTCCCGATGTATCACTACTTTCATTTCTCAACAAGATAACTTCACAAGAAGTATGATCGTTTTCAAAAATAACCAGGCTAAGTACAGTATAAAGTGTGAGGTGGGTTTGGATAAACAGATAAATGGTGTCTTGTTTCTGACATATTACGACAAAGGCCAAAAATCTGGTTAAACCTACCACAAGCTTTTGTAAGAAGTTCTGAGAGAAAATCTTCATTTCCATACTGTTAATAAATTGATAATAACATCAATAAGCTTTACAGTCTCTAACACTGTGTAATGGAAACTTAACTGACATTGCACTCATATACCTGTTTGCTTGTAACAGATGACTTGATGGCTCTGGTCACTTCTTTAGAGTCTCGTATATTCTTTATCGTATAGCATGTTAAATCTGGGAAATTCATTTCATATACAAATTATGATCATAATAATCAAAATCATAGTGCTCTTCCGATCTGTGCGATAATTCGCGTACTTACGTAGCGGAGGCACGCCAATATTACGCTCTGGTACTTCTTTGTTTTCAGCCACGTACCATGTAGGTACGCGGAACTCTTGCTATTTGCGTACGTACTTTTTGCTAGTACCACATGACCTTTTCAAGTCCAAGGTATTCAATACCGTAATCTCGTTGGTATATCATGTGTCTGAGATGTCTTGGCATGAAACATGATTGGATTGATGGCACTAATAAGAAGCCTTGGAGTCGATTGTTTGTATATGCATATATGTAATTGTGTTTGTGTTTCTAACTCGTAGTATGAACATACTTTTCAGAAACCTGAAGCTTATTTTAATGACTGTAAGTACACATTGAGCACTGAATTTGTACCAGCGCAAAGTACGTCGCAACAACCATTGGCGTACCAGTCAGGTACGACAAAAATATTGAATTATCGCGCCCTGCACATGCAGTACATGACAATTAATTGCACGGTAAGGCATAACAAAATATATCCTGATATATTGCATATCCTGAAAAATCACGTCCCTATGTAAAATTAAAATAAAATTAAGAAATTTTTGGAAAGTTTTATTTTTTTTGGAACAACAGGATAGTTCTTGTTGGGTCTCTAATGAACTGCAAGTTTCAATATTTCATGAGAATTTTGCAAGTACCTGGTAAAATTTCTAATGCTTTATCGCATGCCTTCTCAAAGCCTTCTATCACTTCTGGTGGGGAAAGACCCTATATAAACAACAAGATTTAGTGCAGATTGTTTTTCCTCAAGTATATATGGTCACAAAATTTCCATAGCTTACCATACGTAAAAGTTCCTCGGCCTTGGCAAGAAGTTGTCCACCAAAAACCATGACAAAATTTGTGCCATCCCCAACCTAACAGACGCATCAATTTTCATTTGAAAAACCAATTTTGACTCTACCAGCACCACAAATTGCATCAAAATTGCCAAAAATCATGAAGATTTTTTAGACTTTTCCAGGGGGAAAACTACAAACTTCTGCTGGGGAAGGTACAGACTTTTTAAGGGGACAGGCTATAGACTATTTCTGTGGGGGGGGGAGCTACAGATTTTTAGGGAGGAGGACTACAGCCTTTTACAGGAGGGGCAGGTACAGGTTTTTTCGAGGGGGGAATCTACTGACTTTTTGATTGAAACTGCAGATGTCAGACTTTTGCTGGGGAGATGCAGATATTTTAAGGGGGCAAGCTATAGACTTTTTCTGGGGGGGAAGCTACAGAGTTTCAGGGGGTGGACTACAGACGTTTGCAGGAGGGGGCAGTAGGGGGGAATCTACAAACTTTTTGAAACTGTAGATGTCAGACTTTTGCTGGGGAGGTGCAGTTATCGTAAGGGGGCAGGCTATAGACCTCTTCTGGGGGGGAGGACCTACAGACTTTCAGGGGGAGAGCTACAAATTTTCCTGGAGGGGGAAGTACAGGTTTTTTCAAGGGGGGAATCTTCAGACTTTTTCTTGCAGGAGAAAGAGAGTTACATGTTTTGCTGGGGAGAATATACATGTTCATACAAGAGGGAAGCTACAGACGTTGTCGGGGGGAAGAAGTACAAATGAACACACACAAATATTCCTACTGCTAGACAAGATTTCTTGGTTTTAAAGTTTATATTTCATCTTGAGTGTTTGTTACCTCCTGTTCTTGCATCTGAGATGCCAAGATTAACATCTTAGCAGCTGGATGTTGAACCTGGAAATTAAGTTATTGGGCAGTTACATTTATATATAACAGAAACCATGAAAACATTATGTTTTACAAAGCCTGCCTTAGACTTTCCAAAGTCCTTTCCAGGCCCTTCTATGGCGCGCTTCACTTCGTCACTCGGGTCACGCGCTCCCTCCCCCACGCCCTCCCCATGTGGTCGACTTGTGGCAAGTCTAAGCCTGCCTTAAAAAATGAAGTATTTGTTCATTTTTTAAGTATATGCAGGTCAGCCACAAACGTCAATCTTAGAGTCTCTAGTATATTATTCAATTGGACTTATGCACCAGGGTCGGCAACTTCTAAATTAGCAACAAGTTTTTCTTCTTAATTCCCTTTAAGTGGCAATGTGCCCTGATGCACCCACTTTAGTAATTTACTCTGTCTAACGCAAGACAATTTTACTCGTCAAGTGGAGAGTGCTGCCAGTACTCAATGGGTTAATCCATTGATCTATACAATAAATTTATAGGTGATGGCTAGTTATTGAATTACTGTATATGTGAAAAAAATTTTGAAAAGATTTTTTGATGTTTAGGCCTAAAAAAATAAATACCTGTGGTTCCGGTTCCCGACTGACCCTATTTTTTTCTGCCGACCCTATTATTTTTTTCAACACGACGGACCGTGCGATCCTATTTTTTCCGGGTGGTTGTGGGCTGCTCATACAGCGTGCCAAAATGGCATCTGTTGTCACACTAATTATTGAACCAAATTGCCTAAATTCGTCCATAGGAAATATGCATCTCTAGTTAATATTGACGCCAGGACTCTACTGCAAATCACCCAGCAAAAAGCCGCCAAAACCATGAAAAAAATATTCAAAAGAACCTCTAACTCTTTGATAATTGTCGCGGCATCGCTTGTAACAAATAATTTCTCAAGCTGATTGATAACCATTTTGTTCAGCCCTAAAACATATACAAAAAAACAAATTATATAAAATGCATTCTTTCATTTACAAATTACAATATCAAAGGAAATTTTGGATTGTAAGATTAAAGATTAATGGCAATTAGGAACATTTTTATCAACATATAATTACCATTGGGCCCATATGAAGATCTTGTTATTTTTGTTATTTCTTTGCATGCTTCAATATTTCGAAACACTGCTTCATCGAGACCTTTCATGTGCTGAAAATGACAATGATATGCAATGTATATAAAGGAATTGTTATTTAAATTAACCAGCGGCTACGTCCATATTCAAGTTGCCATGTAAAATGTCAAATTGAGGATTTTAGGTGGGTATATCATGTTTTTGCTGTGGCAAGATGATAAGCACTTTTTGATTGGGGGGCAGGGGCTTATACATGGACTACATTTGATGTTAGTAATAATATTTATTCTACCTGGAAACTATACTGTGAACAAAAATATATCAACACACAGTATATAACACATAATAAAACAAGTTACTTAACATATTTAATACTGCAATTATTCTCAACTGTCTGAACTGCTGGAATCCCCATCGCTGTGTTAATAAATAGTGTCTAATAATAAGCCCATGGGCTTATACACAGAGAGGCTTATATTTGGGGGGCTTATATTCGGAATGGCCTGAGTATATTAGCAAATATGGTGGGCTCATACACAGGGGCTTATATTCGTGGGGGGGGAGACTTATACTCAGAGACTAGGAAAAAAACATCAATTTGCGCTTTTGTTCATGGCAACTCATCATGTTTTTCAAAATCACACATGGTCTAGTAACGCTAAATCCCCAAGTGTCGCCAGCTATCTTCGCCACTTGTAGAGCAACCCGATCAACCTCATCAAACAAACTGAAATATGTCATCCCTAAATGCAGAACTACCACCTACCAAAAATCTTTCCTCGTAAGAGCGTGCCGAGTTTGGAATTATCTTCCAGATGAACTGAACCTCACTAAGGATACTAGCATTTCTGTATTTAAATCAGATTTGCTCAAGTATTACTTTACATCACTGAACATTAATTATGATCCTGAAAACTCTCGAACATTTAAGAGTATATGTCTGAAATGTAATTGTATTCGAAGCCTGTTACGTCCAGTATCGTGTTGCAGTTGAACTGTAAATAAGATCACACCTGTAACGTATGTTGTATGTGTATATATATGTGTAACGATAGTTTTCTGTCGGGCCTGCAGTAATTGGCTATTCGCTGTTGCGGTCACCCAGCTGTGGTCATGTACCTACTGTATTTCATTATGTATGTTTGTTTTTGTCTTGTCATGTAATGTACTGTTTCATCGGCAAAGTTTATAAATTAAATTAAAAAATAACTTAACAGGATATTCCCTGTTTATAGTACACTCCCTTAGTATAAATAATAAATATGCACATTCATGTACATTTATGAAGATTTTTTTAGAAATGACTAACATTATCCTAAACCATAACTATGAATAAAACGAGGAGGCCAAATGATATGTTTTAAAGTGAAGAAAACACTATTCACACACTTGACAAACTATTCATTTCGCAAACAAACTCAAACAGGGAAACCACGTGCACCTCATATAGACAATTGTCAAACGAATAAAACACATAAACACTTCGATTTTAACTTGATTTGAAGCTTCTATGTTTGAGTTGCCTTCTCGTTTCAGTTTGGTTTAGTTTAAACATACCTTAGCACCATCTTTGAGCATGTGTTGGAAAGAAGTTTTAGGAACAGACAACGCCATTTTGCAAAAATTTTGTGAAGAAATGACATTAGGTTCTAGGACCTTGGTCAATAAGTCGCGCTGTTTCTTGCACTCTGGCACAACTGCCTAATTAACATATTTCGCATAACTAACAAACATTTATCATTTTTTTGCATCATTTACAGCTGAGTTCGTAGAAAGGAATGTGGAAAATATGCTATTTAGTGTTCTGAATAAAACGGGCCAATTTCATAACACTCATTATATGTCATCCAGTCACGATCTAGTGATCGGAATGCTCTGTTGTTTTTTCATTGTTTACGCTCCATCAGTGGGATTTGTACACAGATCAGCGTTCATTCCATGTAAAGTGTGGCTAGGCTTAATAGCTTCAAATGTTTGACACAGATGGGTACATTTCAAATATTTGCCGCGAAACACAACTGGACACTGTTTGATTTCATGTAACGTAAAACCTATAAAAGCGATCGCAATGAAATAAAGATCATTGACATTGCATTCAGAAACTGACTATTGCTACTTAGATGTTAATATAACACTTGAATTTACATGCAATATTGAGCGAGATACAACCAAGATAAAACTATTATTATTTAACAAGTATAAACGTACATCGGTAATTATTATAAAGTTGTTTTATGCTAATTTTTGGCATTTTCAAAAACAGTAGTGGCAACGTTCAAACACCAACAGCGCAGTCAATATTGCATGTAAATTCAACTGCTATACATCAACATCTAAGTTAGTCCTTTCGGAATGCAATGATCGCATTGCGATAGCTTTTATAGCTTTTAAGTTACGTGAAATCAAACAGTGTTCAGTTTTTGGGGGACACCCGGTAGTTTTTCAGAGTTATCAGATTCAAGTTGTATACCTTGCTATCAGTATCAAACAAAATCGCATTTTAGAAGTATTGTGAATTTGTATTGTTATACAACATCAAATACATGGATTTCCTAGCATAGAATTTCATTTTATAACAACAGGAATATAATTATAACATTTTCTCAATTCAGCAAACTCATTATGCATATTTGTGACGTAAACTTTGACACGTATAGCAAAATAACTTGCATATCTCGAAAACGAAGCAACTGGATGAAAAACTGCAAACAAGTTTATACTGTATAGTTTTTAAAGTTTTTTTAACTGATAAGACAATAAACAGTTTTCGGTTTCATAAATTTATTTTATCTTTAACAGAATAAAGGTTCATGAGTTTTCCAACTATGTTTTAATTTAAATAGAATCCATGATAGTGGGAAAGCGACAAAATGGCAAGATCGCGTGACTTGGTTGGCGCCATACCTCATTCTCGGTAATGGTTTGATCATGGCCTCTGCATGGATCAGGGCTAGGTTGAGATCTGCCCATATGGTAAAACATGTGGTAGCCAATGCATTTTACACTTTAATATGGGAATGAGAAAATGCTGCTAAAAGCTTTCATTACGCGATTTGCCACCAAACGAACCGGGGCTGACACCCCGAAAAAAATACACGTCATCTCGCTTGTGACATGGTTTTGTTGTTACAATTTGAAAAACAGCAACCAATTCTTTATTTCAAGCATGCAAAATCAAACAATTTTACTTGCCAAGTCGATAATATAAACATTTTAAATATGCAACAAAATTTCTGGGCCTTAGAATCGTAAACAATATCGCGTGAGTGGAAACAAAAATTGTTTTTATTGCCCATATTTCCTGGGCAGCTGTCGTGAGCCACGCCCTGTATTCAACCAAAATGTCACCAGACAAAAGAATTTAAATTATTTTCGTTCGCATGTTGAGGGCGAAACGTCACTTTTAACACATCACAAGCGAATATCGACGCTTTGGGGATTACTCACGAACGTTTAACAATGCCTTTCACACGAGAAGAGAAACAGAAGGCAAAAGCGGCCATTTATAACGGCGACGAGGCTGGCAAAGAAGCGAAATCACCGAAATCGCCGATCGAAAACGGTCATGATTTAGTAGGCGAGGATGCGAACGGACACGAATGCTGCTACCCCAAAGGCTGTATCTCGTCTGACTTAACTCCCTGGGATTCGGTTCGGTTTGTTTGTAATAACGAACAATGCGATAAGAGCGGCTTTATGCACGGCGAATGTGCAGACGCGTTCGAAGAAGATATACTCGCATATCTTCGAAGCGTTGGGCGGGCGAGAAGCTGGTCTGACAAGCAACGACGCCAGAATATATGGACGAAAAAGGGCTACGATTTAATCTACAAATGCTGTGCCTGTGCTTGCGGTAAGGGGCATTTGAAAAAGGATTTGGATTATAAACCTTCAGACGAGGGCGATAATTTTCAGCAAGTCAAATCGAAGCGTAAAAAGAACAAGAATCAGAAGCCATTGTTACCCGTGTCGCCCAATTGCAACTCGACTGGTGGTATACCGAATAAAATGCAGCAAAGAAAGTCGAGTCAATCGCCTCCCGAATTCTCGCCTGGTGTTAAATCGCCAAACAGACGAAGGACAAACTCGAGGTCTAGGGATGTATTCCAGTTCCCGACGTCCCCAAAGGGAGAACAGGCTATTTCGTCGAGCTTTCCATGGCGAACAGATTTTGGAACAATGATAACAATTCTACCAAGGCAAAAAATCAACCCCTGTCACATAAAGATGGACGATGATTTCACTCAAAGCGACGACCCTAGGTCGTTTATTTTGAAAGCTCTCTTCTCGAACAGTCAGACTGCAGTGAATTGTGTGATTTGCCAAAGAAATCTACCCGTGTTTGCAAACTATCCTCTGTTAGATGGCACATTCTTCTTGTCACCTAAGGAGTTGACCTCATCAGGATGCATTGAGATGGACTTACAGTCAAGGACCCTTTACCTAACTGCTGTATGTATGCATTGCTTACAGGGCAAGCCCCAAGCCGTCAAGTGCAAGTTTTGCAACACAAAGTGGGACGGTTCGCACCATCAGATCGGCACGCTTTACTGGTACGATATCTTTGCGGCGGCGCCCTGCTGCGATCGGCGAATCGAATGTCGAAAGTGCGGAAAGCCAGTCGCAGGTACGGAAAACGGGAAGCAGTATTTCTCAGATTATTCACGTCACTTCGAGTGCCCCCATTGCTCGTTTGTAGATTGTCACTACGTCAAGCCGCTCACCTTGTACGAACTTACTAATTGATGTTTGAATGTTGATTGGTTCAAATCTCACGGTGCCTCCTGATTCGTTGAAAATGTTGATATTGTCGCAGTATTCGAGCATCGTGGTCATTGCAATATCTTGATAGCAATATTACAGAATACTTGCACTTTTCTTTATGGTTGGTAATTACATTACAGTTTAGAACGTCTGCGATGTGTCGTAAGAACATGCATCACGAACCATACTTAAGCTTCGGTCTAACGAGAATGAGAGTTAATGAGAGTTGCACCTCTTGCTCACGTTTGACTACCAATGTTATTGACTCTCATCAACTTTGAACTGCTTCAAATGTTGATGAGACAGAGATTTGATTCGAGTTTTTGCCGTGCATGCAGTAATATCCAGTCAACTCTCATGCAACTCTTGTTCTCGTTCGACAGGGGCATTACATGTTACTTATGAAATTACTCATCCACTTGTGGAATGGTAGAAAAAATTAATTCCATTGCTACCACTCTCTAACCATAACACCTAACTGACTAACATATGTTTATGCCAGTTGCAACCCAATCCACATATTCAGAATGCTAATAATCACTGGGATATAATCGTGAACTGTCTTCGTAGGCGTATGGGCCCCCCCCCCCCCGAAAATTTCTGCGGTCGGGCAAAAATCAATGCGACATTCGGGCAAAACATAAAAATTTCAGAAAAAATATGATATGCAGAGAAAAAATTTTTGTATGTTTGTGAAAATTATTTGATGTTAGGGAAAATTTTTGATGTCCGGCAAAATTTTTTGGTGACCTCCCCCCCCAAAAAATATTAGTGTTAAGTTTGCCTGCTCGGCCAAACTATACGGTGCCCCCCCCCCCCCAAATCGAACTATGCCCGTACGCCCATGACTGTCTTTGCCAGTGTAGGTAATGCCAATAAAATGAACAAGCTTTTGTTGGTGAGGATGCAACTACCTGAAAATATATAAGAAGAATTTCAACGTTTCGAGCAAAGGTCCTTTGTCTGGAGTTACTAGCAAGGTAAGTACTCGCTACTACCCACTAGTAACTCCAGACAAAAGGCCTTCATTCGAAACGTCGATATTCTCCTTATATATTTTCAGGTAGTTGCATCCCCACCAACGAAAGCTTGTTCATAATAACCACTGTTCTGATGTCAGTACAGAATGGAATGAAGGTAACCAAGCATTTAGATTATGTGAGCAGAATGGGCAACATAGGCATGAACATGTGTTATAATTTGGGTAGAAATATATTTGCGACCTAAAGCAAAATGTGCTAACAAGACGTGATTGCATTACTATTTATGCCATGATGTTAAATGTGCCAATCAATGTTAAGCCCGGGGGTGGTTGGGTATAAGTGGGGTATTTCACTGATTTTTGTCTCCCCACCTTCCAAAACCTGATAGCTGTTTTTCACCCAATATTTGAACCAAGTGCCATCATATATACCCCAAGTAATATGCTGCTCAAAAAATTAAATCCACACCTATTTTGAAAACTTGTTATGTAATTGACAAATATTCTGTGCCCAACAGCAAGGCATTTGACCGATATTTGCTGTCGTCATCATGGCTGTCCCTTCTACAGGTCCTTGTGCATCATGGGAAGGTCAGAGGCAGGCCTGGGCGGCCGCATGATCCCACATATCCCAACCTCCCCCTGGGACTTATCATTGATATGCACATATGTAACTCCAATTTATTTATTGTTCAAAAACGATATCATAACTTGTACCAGATTTTTATTTCAATTAAATAATGGAAAATATGTATTTTAATTAAACACAAAACAATAGACACTCCTTAAATTGTTAAAATTTTTCATTTTCTACATTTCAATTGTTACTCAGTGCATACTGTTTTGTGTTTGATTAAAATATTGCAACCGTAAATATGCATTTGCTGTGAGTGTCTTAAGGCAGTAACATGGAAAAAACCATTCTACAATTCCCATACACCTTACATTGGCATCACTGTAGTATATATATATATATATATATATATATATATATATATACACGAACTTGCAGTTACAGATTGACAACTGGACTCTGTAGCTCAGTTGGTTAGAGCGCTGTACTGGAATTACAGGGTCAACTCTTGTCAGAGGGGCCAATAGTTGCATTTTTCACAACTGCCCCCGGTTAGGTCTAGTAAACATATAAAAATCACAATTGAAATTTCCCTTCCACAAAACCCTCCACAATTATATATACTGTATAAGCTTCTATCATCCTATGAAAACATTACCTAGAAAATTTTCTGGTAATTCTATCCAAGTCGAAGCTCATCAATTCAACTGTATTCCTCAGGTTGTGATACTCCAAATAATCCAATGGTTATTGCAGCCTACTTGATCTGCGCAAACTTAAGACTCAAGATGTACTTACTCTTTACAATAAAGTACATAAAACACAGCATTTTAAAACTATTCATTCAGACAAGCTGAAACTACGAGTCGGAACAAGAAGCACAATAGCATATGGATATGCAATATTCCTTTGTCACATCAGTCCAATCATGTTTCACACAGTGCAATATTTACCATTGATGCATGGTACTTTACTTTGTTTTTTCCTGCGCACAGGAAAGCACCATTAATGGTAAATATTACACATGATTTTTACCATATGGGAAATTTATAATAACCATGGTAAATCTTTAAAAAGCATTCAAAAACCCATAAATGGCAATTAAAAATTTCCCCTGTATTAGGGCCCAGTCTAAGGGACCAAATGGTATACCCAGTATATTTGTTAAAACTGCCCTGGCAACAATGCTGTTTTAAAAAATGTAATTGTAAATAATTTAAAAGTCTATAGTTGTTTGATGCGTTGATATGCACATAGATGAATTACCAGACGAGCTAAATTGACCATTTTCGGCACATAGAAATGCCCACCATCTATAACATGCTAGAGGCCTAAGATACTTCGCTCATCTACAGTTGCCTGTTGCAGGAATGCCGGATAGCGCAGAATACTTGGATAGTGATCAGTTTTCCAAGCCCATTTCTTTGTATAACCTAGATTAAACTTTACTATTTATAAATTCAACTTCCTTTCTATGAATCGCGAGGTCCATACATGTAGCTTTATAGTTTTAAAGCATTTTTACAATGGTTGAAAAAAAAATCACTAAAACCAATGGATAGCGCTATTCAGCCTCTGTACAATCTTCCCCAGGACACATCATCGTGCTGCAGTAAATACAATATATATCTAACTCAAGATTCTTCAGCATCTAACATATCTTCAATTTCTTTTTCCCAAGACCCATCATCATCATCATCATCATCTTCTTCATTGACAACCACATCATATTCCTAAGAAAATAAAACAATATTCATGTACATCATCCCATTCTACGAAGTCTAGTCTATCTACAGTATTCAAATTTTGCGACTAACCCCAAATATAATTTTTGGTAAGTGTAATATTTGGGTCATTCTAAGAAGAAATGTAATATATCTTTATAGTAAAAAACCTCATCTTGGTCAACTTTTTCACTGTCAAAGTTTCCGGATATGATGTCATTAGATGAATTTTTGGTAAAAAAAAACAACAAAGGAAAACTAATTTGTACTAATTTGTAATTCACCTAATTACATCATATCCGGAAACTTTGACAGTCATGAAAAAGTTTATCAAGATGGAATTTTTTTATTATAAAGATTTATCATATAGTAGAGAGTGAGATACTGAGAAATACACAGTGACATATTTTCCATATCTTCACTAGTGAAGATATCGATCACGTGACTTTTAGTATTTATACAATTTTTTTTGCTTGGAGTTGGGACTATATAATAAACAGAACATTACACGGTGGCTTGAAAATATGACTTCTATCTTCTCGTGTTAAAAACAATATTTTACTCACTTGCTGCGCTCGTTCGTAAAATATTGTTTTCACCACTCGAAGATAAAAAGTCATATCTTCGTGTAATATCCTCCATATATTACATTTCTTCGAATGACCCAAATATCACACTTACAAAAAATCATAATTGGGGTCATAGTCGCACTTTAACATGCAAATCCATTAAACTACAATCCATTAAACATCATAGTCAATAGAATAAGGTTAGGGAACTTGATGTAGACATAATATACCTCATTATCTTATGTTTTTGTCTTTGGTTTATGCAAAAAATGCTCGGTTCATCGTCACGTGTTTATTGTTTTTTCTTCGCCCAACCAACCAATAGAAGTGTGTTGGTTTAATTACATACAGCTAGGGTGTCCGAAAAAACCCCGGCAAAACCATTGAAATAACGTATTGTTAAAATTTGAATGCCCTAGCACTAAGCTGAATGCAAAGATGCGTAAAATGTTGACAAGGAGATTTTATATAAAGACCATCAAAAGGTATTCTGCGCATACCTGCGGGCTTTACATTCAATGGTCGGGACCGACAAGGACCCGACCGTTGGAACCATTTTAATATTTCGTATCTTTTTTGAACTTTTTGAATTGAATCTCTAGTCTGTATTCATTTTACAACGCGGCGAACCAAGAAGAGTGTTAAAATTCAGTATAATATATATCTAATGTATTTTACGGCTGCCAGCACTGAGTTCAAAATGTAAACAAAAGCGTTTATTTACATTACGGACTTTACATGGTCTTTAACATATTATTGACTTATTAAGAAATTAAAATATATTTGTAAAACGCACGATTTTCTGCTCTTGGGAATTTAAAACAGCTTCTTAATTAAACGGTTTCTTTATGCATAAAATTTACTTACGTCAAGCTTTGATGCACGTGTGGGTTCAGCAGAGTGCCGAGGCGTTTAAATTCTAACAATACATTTATTTCAATAGTTTTCGGGGGTTTTAGGACACCCTGTAGTCATGGCGAACATGCAGATTCGGCTAGCTCGAATACCTGCAATTCTTCTTGTAATTCTCGTTCCCAATCAGGTATATCACCTTCAGCAGTGCCACTGGTTTGCTGTTTGTTTTCACTGGTGGAGCTTGCCGCTTCATTGTTGGATACAGGACCTGACGTTTTCTTCTTTCCACTTTTACCACTTAGCCTGTCAACACCAATCTGTTCGAGGTCTTCTTTACTCAGCTCTAGATAGTATAAGGTATAAGTTGTAAGATTGCTAGGAAAGCCGAGGGGTACAAGCACACAACCCAACCAAATTCAAAAAGCATTCGGGTCCGAAAAAAAACCTCCGGTCGTTTAGGAATCCGGAACCACAGGTTATAATTTTGTTAGGTCTTACCATGTGCTCCTTCAAAAGCGTCACTTATGAACTCGTCTTGTGGAGGACTGCTGGATAAAGTCATCTCTCCTAAATCTTCACTCTAACCAAGAAAATAAAGCCAGTAAAGACTAAAGAGAATTAATAAAGATCAGTTTAGAGAAATGTTATATCTTACAACGTTCTGCGTCTTAGACTTATCTTCTTTTTCCTGTTGTTTTGTTTGGCTGGAATCTATGTTTAAATTTAGAAAGAAAAAATCCTGTTAGGATAAAGAATTACTTGTACTATATAAAAAAGATATATTGTGAACAATCTATGAATCTAAACAGAAGACTTACCACCTGACGATTGAGTGCTTGGTTGCTCCTTTCCTTTCTGGTTTTCAGCTGTGCTATTTGTATTTCCTACAGTAGATAACAGAAAGGATGTCTACAATAGACAATTCCCATTATAAACTAATTTTTTATCTTCGCAAAAGAAGTATATTCCCGGAAAGAGCATACTAAAATGAGTAAAATTGCACAGTTTGGTTGCGAAATGTTGTAAAATGCGGAAAATATAGGCTTGCAAAGTTCGCAAATTTTGTATACTTTTGTATGTGGTAGCAATTTCCGCACGCAATACAAAAGTATACAAAATTTGCGAACTTTGCAAAGCTATATTTTCCGCATTTTACAACATTTCGCAACCAAAGTTACCAAACTTTGCAATTGTACTCTGACATTGAATGTTGACTGTCTGACTGACATATTAATGGTTATTCGATCTCCATACCAGTTGCAGATGCCAAAGATGTGAGCTGCGAGGATTGTTTGATGAGGGAAACACGATAAAAGTAATTCCGCCAGAAGGTCGTCTCCTTTACTCTGATGAAAAAAAATCAAAGTGTGCATTCAACGTTTAAGTAGCTCTATATATTTCTGTCTGTTCTATTTTTAAATGCAACCACAGTCTCGCAGAAGTAAAAAAATAAACATGAACAACATTTTAAATTCTTTGAAGAAGCAGAATAGCTCCACTTTGAAACATGAAACGTATACAAAATAAAACAATATGAATATAGTCATAAGTACAAGTCAAAAGTATATTCATCAGTTTTTTGCTTGTTTTTTTTTTTATTTAAACATATTTTTAAACTGCATGTTTGAACCAAAAGCACTAGTTGCTTATCTTGGGCTAGCTCTAAGGTGAATTAAATACAATAATATGAATGTGTCTGTGAAGGAATTAAAAAAGCACATCGACACACACATTCACACAACAAAAACAAAAAAAGATCATCCATAGCTAATAAACAAAACGAGCAGATTTTATAAAATATGTTTGAACAGCTGAAAAAGTTTACGATTTGCGTCAAGCGAGAGATCCCTTGAGCCATACAATTAAAGACAGCTCTAATTTGCCTAAATTACTGCTGGATAACCAAGTGTTCCCTAATGTTTGGATGGCGGAAGAAAAAAGAACAGATCTTTGAACAGCATATCGGGGAGATTTAACAAAATAGTGAAAGGCCGATTCCTAGTTTTGAGCGCGTCTTACGTAGCATACAAAAGATTCTTCTCTTAATGTATTTGTATTTCTGTGATGAAATATTGTTCTCATCTTACTTTTTAGGAACTAAGTTAAATCTCATCTTCTTCAGCTCTGGATCTTCATCAAGTGTGGCAAGTGCTACAGGGAACATACTGTCATAGTCATAATGAAACTGCACTCCCGATGGTGGGTCACGCAAAAAGTTCCTTTCATCCTATTGTATACAGCATGCAAAAAAGAAACACAATCGTGAATGTGATTTTAATAGACCTACTATATCCATGCATGCTGTATTTAAGTCAATTTAGAAACATTTAGAAACACACACTAGGTGCGGTTTGAGTGTTGAGGAAGGGGGCATAAAATTTGCATGATTTTTAAGGGGGAGGCTGTTAAGATTTTTGCCATTCAAGAAGGGGAGATTATAATATTTTAAAAAATATCTGAGTGTTACCAGGCCCTAAAAAGCACAACTAGATGTTAATTCTTACAGATCTATATCAAATAAAACAAGCATCCTAATTAATATGGTACCAACTCACTGATGACAGAGCGAGGATTTGAGATTTCATGCTCTCTTCTTCGTGATAGCCCACCCACGGAGGAACTCCAGTCTCTGGAAAGAATAAAGCCATTTCAGTTTAATCCACACTGTAGATGCCTACAGCATTTCAGACAACTGGTTTCAGTGTTACCTTTCCTTTTGTTGTGTTTTTCATTCACAAATTTTTCTTGTTCCTTGTTGAAGTCAGTAAGAATGTCCTGCATTTGAAAATTAAATTCCATTAGGCCCATGTATATGGCCACTGGCTAGCAGTGTACTGTCATGTAAGCGCACCTCCTTCTTGGCTACAATTTACAGATATGTTGAACAAATATATTTTAATACATAAAATAGAAATGCCCAATTCTCTTGATACTGTGATTGTGTGAAAGAGAAAATGGCATTTTTTTCACATTTGATATTGTTTTTCTAATTTCCATTTTCGTTATCAAATACTTATAATGTTAGATGTTTGCAGCAAAACTAAGAATGTGCTTTATTCAATCAAAGTATCAAACTAAATTAATTATTAATATTGAACTAAGTATTTTGGGCTAGTGCTGTGGTGCTGCCTTGAATTCCAAATCTTAAGTTAGTCCAAGACTGATAACAAACAT